AAAAGGTCAGATAAGTTGATGTTGGGAAATGAACCCCAAGAGAAGTATTCAAATATTTTTTTCTTTCATGTGATTCTTTCTAACATATTTATAAAATGATTTCTTTGTTGGTTTGTATGTCCCTCCCCTACAATATAATCCCTGCTTTCACTGTATTTGATGTTGGTATAATTTGTGGAGGGGAAGGGGAAAAAAATCATTTATAAAGGGATACAGGTGGACCCATTGCCCAATGAGATGTACAAGTCGTTATATCCAAAAACGAACTTTACAATTTTGGAAGGGGGAGGAAGAAATGGAGGGAGAGGAGATGGGAAGGGATAGGAATGGGAAACAAAGGAGGAGGCAACAATGCTTGATAAGAAATGTACTCATTATCTTGCCCATGTAAATGTAACACCTCTATACAGTATTTTCACAATTAAAAAAATCATTAAAAATAAATAAAAATAAAATAAAAAATACAGTTTGACCCATTGTAACAATGAGATGTACAAGATACAATGTTGAAAGCTAACTTTATAGCTTGGGGGGAGGGGAGAGAGAAGTTGGGAGAGGTGGGAGGGAAGGGATGGTAGGGGGAAAACAAGGAGGGAATAACAATGCTTAATAGGAAGTGTATTCATTTCCTTACTCATGTAACTGTAAACCCTTTGTATAGTATCTTTACAATAAAAATATATATATTAAAAAAAAAGAAAATCCTAGTCTTTAAAAATGCATGAAATCAGGGCTGGGAAGGTGGCTCAGTGGTAGAGTGCTTGCCTTGCATGCATGAGGTCCTGGGTTCGATTCCTCAGCACCACATAAGCAAAAAGAAAAAAGCCGGAAGTGGCGCTGTGGCCAAGTGGTAGAGCACTAGCCTTGAGCTGAAGAGCTGAGGGACAGCATCTAGGCCCAGAGTTCAGGCCCCACGACCAGACCCAAAAAAAAAAAAGCATGAAATCAGGAATGAGGAGGTGGGGAGGGAAGAGATAGTGGAAGAACAACAAAGGAGGGAGTAACAATTCTCAACAAGAAACATACTCATTAACTTACTCACGTAACTGTATCCCCTCTGTATAGCATCTTTACAATAAAATAAAATTTAAATAAAATAACATAAAATAAAAATGCATGAAAATAGCCGATGCTGGTGGTTCACGCCTATAATCCTAGCTACTCAGAAGTCTGAGATCTGAGGATGGCAGTTCAAAAGCCCGACCAGGAAGGATGTCACTGAGACTCTACCTCCAATTAACTACCAGAAAACTGGAAGGTGTGCCATGGCTCAAGTGGTAGAGTGTTTGCCTTGAGCTAAAGAGCTCAGGGACAGTGCCCAGGTCCAGAGTTCAAGCCCTGCAACCGACCAAAAAAAAAAAAAAAAGCATGAAAATACCAATCCATTCCTTCCTTCATTTTAGCCCTAAAAGACTCAAAACTATGACTGCTTTCTTGAGTTTCAGTGCTTCAAGATATATGTCCAGGTCTGATACTGTGTTCCCAGCAGAGTACAAGTTCACTGACAGTGCTCTTGCAAGAGACGTCAGAGACTTAACACAGGTGTTCTGACTTGTGTGTGCAGGTGTGTAAATTATCATGTGCATATTAACATAATACAAGGATTCCCTTTGCTACATTGCAATTCAGTAATTATATAGCATAAATGCATCCTGATTGGACATCACAAATGCACTCTAAGTTAGGGAGATTACTAATCTAAATTATGTAAGAGTTGGAAATGTGATCATCAGAGAAGCAAATTGATAAAACTTTGCAAGTTCTGATTACTTCCCTAAATTATTCCAGTGAAATTCCTAAAGATGATAAACGCAAGCATCTCACTTTTACATAATTTTAATATTTTTTTATTAAGACAAGGGGTATTGACATAAATGATAATAAAATCTCTGAAGCCATTCTTCATTTGAATTTCTTGAGGACATATTGTGCCAAATACTGCTGCAGGCACTGAGGATAAAGTAATAAAACTCAGAAAAGCAGACTCTCAGCTGACATGTAAGTAGGGAGAATAAATAATAAAGCACATCAGACCAGATCAGGAGAAAATAAATCAGTCTGAGGTATGACAGACAGAAAATCATGGAAGAAGTCTTAT